TCGTGAAAAAATATCTTAAGAAAAAACTCCTTCCTTTACTATAGTGTCATTGATTAAGATCCCTCCCCCTTTCGATAAACAACATCTTGCATGCATGTATCCATCACTGATGGGAGCGGGAGGTGTGAATACATTCGACAAGCATTTACACAATTTCCATTGATATCGTTTCCATGGAAATTTGTCATCTTTTATTTTTTTTTGTTTTTTCGTCACATACTGGAACAACTGCACAAAACACTACATTCTCACACTGTTCCTGATATCCCAGAAAATTTTACCAAAAATATATATATAATTAGGGCTGTGAGAATCTCTGAGAATTTTCCAGCAATCCACATCTCACCACACGCAGCTATTGTGAAAAAAGAAATCATTTGTTAGCTTTAGCTGCTTGCCTAGTTTATTTTTTACTACATCAGTGTTAAATGGTGGAGTCTGTCATTTTTGAAATTAGACGCTAAGGTAGCTTAAGCTTTGCATTGTTGCTTTGCACTGTAATAATTATAAAAGTTGCCTTTGCAGAACTTGACAACTTTATTAACACAAAATAATAATAATCTGATTAAGTCGAAATTCAAATAATGTACCCCCCAAAGTAAGACTTCCTAGGTTGTTCATAAATGACTGCTATCTAATTTACTTTTTCTGTAGCTGGTATATATGTATTGATGTCTGAACATTTTATGAGTCACCTAGGGAAACATTGCTTTGGGTGTACATAAGTAAACATTTTTTTTCACAAAATGGTTCTTTTTCTACTCAGATCTGTATGTATTGATGTCTGAACATTTTATGAGTCACCTAGGGAAACATTGCTTTGGGTGTACATAAGTAAACATTTTTTTTCACAAAATGGTTCTTTTTCTACTCAGATCTTTAAAGTGTATATTGATTATATGCCATGTGTTCATTAAGATATATTTTAACTTGCATACAGTCTTGTTTATTCATGAAGACTTATATGTTATAGATACCAAGTTAGTTTAACACATCCAAGTAAATTTTTTCCACCAGACCACCTAGGTCTGTATAGTTTTACTCTAGACTTTCTAAGCATGCTAACATTTCAAATAAACTCCTTAGTCCGACAGAATATCTATAAAAACAGGCTGCATAAAAGTTCAAATGTATATCTGAATGTTGTGATCTGAGAATAAATTACACCTGAGTGAAAGTTTAAGTTTACTTGACAGTTCTGCAAAGGCTACACTGAATGATTTCTGTACCATTTTGGTTGATTGGCAGTTGACAGGATTTGTATCAGAACAAAATATTTATAGATTTACTGAACAAAATTACTAAAAGAGACTAGGACAAGGTGTTTGAACATACATTTCACGAATACGTTTGAACATACATTTTACGAATACTATTTTTACAGATAATATTTTATCATTATAACATACCAGTACAAATGCTGTCACGTCTGTTCAAAAATGGTTACACGCCAAGTTTGTTTGATAATAGAGGGGAGAGGATAATGTCTTCATACACCACAATCACCGCATTACATCGTTATCATACCATATAAGGGTCAATTCATTATCAACCAATGATAAGCCTGTATTGGTGGCAATAAATGGGGAGGCGGGCAGTCTTGCTTATTATTAAAAACTTTGCCTTTTAGGTTTAAATGTGGATCAATGCAAAGATCAATCACATTTTTAAAACTATAATGAATTGGATTTCTATTCTATTCTATTCTATTCTATTCTATTCTATTCTATTCTATTCTATTCTATTCTATTCTATTCTATTCTATTCTATTCTATTCTATTCTGCAATATATCCAATCCTGTCTATTCTCTTCTATCCTGTCCTCACTCTATTCTATTCTATTCTATTCTATTCTATTCTATTCTATTCTATTCTATTCTATTCTATTCTATTCTATTCTATTTAATATTATGTACTTCTGTTCTGTCTTATTCTTCTTTTCCTTAGCCTATATTTTATTCTATTTTATTCTATTCTACTTTATTCTACTTTATTCTACTGTTCTTTTCTTTTCTATTCTATTCTATTTCCCTCTACTGAAATCCTTTTCTATGGGGCCAAACCATTTCATATTTTGTATTTGGGTTGATCTTTCACTAGATCCATGGTGTAGTTGTGTGTAAATTTAGTGTTTTAATTGTGTGCATTCGTAGAAAATGACAAAATTCTGTAGTTTGTCAAACTTTGCTAACTGTTACAATTTTCTAATATTTGTAGCTTTGCTAGGGGATCGTAAAATCAGCTTTGCAGCTGTGAGTGAGGAACCAGACTCATCACATAGCAGTAATACTACCATAACCAATGAAGGAGATGACAAGAAAGGTACTAACACCCCTATTACATAGTGGAATGATCCATGCTCATAAACAACTATTATGGGATGTCATATGAATCAACCATGTGGGACTGCATATTTTTTTGTGGAATGGCCAGAATTTTTAAGACTAAAAGTATTTTTTTACTTTATGCTTGTACTTTTATTGCTGAATGATCAGTATTTTCAGCATGCGACCCCCAATATATGGCTGAAATAAGATATTTACTGTAAACCATCTTTTTGTGTGGATTTTCTCATTCATAACCTTACTCCACCTGAGAGGTGGGTACTAAATAAAAGATGCTATAATCTATGTAATAGGTCTACGTGCCAAGCAGGTCAGACCAGGTCGCATTTTGCGCCGACATCCAGGTCAAAATCGTTCAGGTGGATCAAATCTTAAAGGCAGTTTCCGGTCCGGTAAAAGACCAGATAATTTATCAGGTAAGTGCATCTTGTATCAATTTGTTGTTCGCATTGCATAACAAGTGAGGATAATGGATAGGTTTTGAAACCATGCACACCATCAACCACAGCAAGCCTCTAACAACTGAGCTGTTGTTGATTCCGATGGAAAGTTTCAAAAATAGACGCTTTAGAAAAGGTAATTTCAATGTCACATTGTATGCATTGAATTATTTATGAGAAATTTACAGTATGTGCAATAGACCATTTGTGTTTATGTAAATTTACCTCGGTTCGGCACCGTGCATGTACAAGGCAAATCAGATATCTGTATTAGCCCTCTGGTGGCCAGATTAACAGTTTTATTGCCCCTTTCTTTTTATGAATTGGTCACAAGATTTTAGGTTGTATAAAATTTGACAGTCATTGCCAGTATATTTACTGCTGATTGGTGTCTCAATTTCTCTTATTTTCACCACAGGCAAAATTTTAATAGTTTCGTTATGTTTTCTAAATTCAGGTCTTGGACGTAGTGGAAGTTGTAAAGGCCGGAAAGTTAGCCTGGCTTCTGAGGAAGATGACCAGACAGCGGAAACCAGCAGTGTTGTTAGTGAGGTGCCGAGTCCACAAGATCCAGAAACACCGGATACTGTCAGCACACCAGATGCATTGTTGGATGTTGAATTCAGTAAAGACATGCCATGGATAAAAGTATGAGCATTTGTTAAGTCTTGGAGGATGCACTCATTTTGTAGTTGTTTAAAAAAAATGTAATGCAGGTTCATATGTGGAATATTCATTGGGATATTTTAAAACTAACACTGATAATGATATTTGAACTTCATAGGTTGTTGTTGATATCGCCAGCAAGTGTAATTTTATTTGCGATCACAAACATTATTGCCATCCTAACTGCTATGAACGACAGAAGAGAAACTGTTTCCGCTTGATGCGAGGTGTTCGACAAGTATATGGAGAAGAATTTGGCTACAAGAAAACAGAAGAGATTGAATTGAAGAAAATGGACGTCAAACTTAAAAGAAAGGTTATTTGAATTTATTTCGGTGATGTTATGATTGGAACATTATGTCATGCGTTATTGTTTGTTGCAATTGCATGCACACATTTATCAATACATTGTACTGAAATCAATATAATTTCGTTTTGATCTACATTAGGAATCGGGACAACCGTTCTCTCCAATGAAGAGTTTCCGTGAATTCCGTCGAGAGAGTGGATCGTCAACATTTGAGCGTCAAGCTAGTATGATCAAAGGATCCAATCAGATAAAAGCAGCTGAGGCAGCCAACGTCATTGATGCACTCTCAATTGAGGATTGTAAACCAAGACCACAAGATACTCCATTGCAGAAGTACATGAAAACACAGGTTAGATTTTCTAACTGGTTACCATGACAACTTAACAAGGGTGACAAGGATTTCAGTAACTTTTCAGTAATTGCAAACTTTTTGTAAATACATGTATAAGTATAATTGTGTTATGTCATTGTAGGTGATGTCATTGGTACACTGTCCATTTGCAATTGTGTCAAAGTCTGCACCAGTTTTAACAGAAGATATTTTCACAGATATTCTGCCTGTAGCTTGGGAGCTTCTATTGGACACTAGTCAACAGCTCGCTGCATCAGCTGGTAAATTATTATCATTATTATCTCAAAATTTGACATCAGTTGAAACATTTAAATATACACAGATTCAGTTTTATAAATGATTAATTGTTCTATATTGATAATGTGTATGATGTGACAGTAGTGATTGTCAGGCAATACATATATACTAGAATTCTTCCTTTCAATTAACAATTATCAGTGAGGTGGCTGAAATTGAAATATATTTGTGAGTGGTTGAATTATTAGAATGGCATTTAGTTATTGTTGAAATGATTATATAAATGTCAGTGTAAAACATAAAAAAAGACAGACGTTTGTATATTGTGAACTTGACTGTTTGCTTTGACCTTTTGAATACTAAAGTCAACTTTTCAAAACAAGTTGTTTTCACTCACAAGATAAAACTGCATAATTTTGTCCATACTTTTGGCAAAAATATTGATCAAGAGTGTATGGTAAATTACGTTCATTTGCTCCAAAATTAACAAGAAAATATAAAAAAATGTGTGAAAAATGTTGGCGGTAAGAAATGGCATTCTATGGTTAATCTTCATGAATATTCAAATGACTCTCTTCCATATATAGCTGCTGTGTTTTTAATCACCGCTGTGAAGATGCCAGCATTGGTGACAGAAATCATAAGCAGTGAAATGCACCATAGAGAACCCGGACAGCGTGTTGATGCGGTGTTACGATTTCAAGTACTATGGAAATGTCGTCATCAAGTCTGGTGTCGAATGGAAGAAGGAGCAAGTAGTATTTTCAAGGTACAAATAACTGTTGTCTTCGCTGTTAACATGTTCTTGCAGTTTCTAATAATTTAACCATTGTTACTTGTGCGATAAATAATTAATAATCTGTTTATGCCTAATTTCAACCAATAGTTTCAACAAAATGTTGACAAACTATTTATTGTTGAATTCAATATCTAACAACTGATATTAAATATTTGTCTAGCATAAAACCAGTCACCTAAGGAGTTTATTTGAATAATTATGATTTGTGATATTGATATGTTAAAAAAAGAGACTAAATGAATGTGAAGCGAATCAATTATGTTGTTTGTATTTTAAATTGTGTCACTTAATGTAAGGAATGAACAATTTTGTTTCATAGCTTCCCCCGCCAAGTATCGATTTTACGCTTCCGTCACCAACTATTGGAATATCTGGAATGCCCGTAGTTGATCCGCCATGGATGCCAGTATTAAGTACAACAATTGAAGAAACTGTCAGTCAGTATGACGAGCGGGTAAGGCTCTTTGATTATACAAATATTGCATTCAAATAAAAACATCTTGTTATAACCTCAAATCAGGCCTTTAACTGGTTAATATGGTATATAACATAAAGAAATAGTTGTATGTACTTCTGTTGCCTTGTATAGGTTTTCTTTATATTATTTCTATATAACTGAAAAGGACAAGGAAATATTTTGTTATTTGATAGAAAAAACAGTATATTTTGCCAAACCTTGTTAATCAGATATGTTCTAAATGATATGGTCATGACTCTTCTTATAATAAAAACGAATGTCATTCTTTTCTGAACATTATTCAGAGGTCATTTGCTGCAGCAGCAGTGACAAGAACCAATCAGAGGCTTGAACACCTTCAGAAAATGAAGTGTGCAGAAGAGGAGAAAAAGCGCAAGGCTCGCGAGAAGTTCAGTCTTGTCGACTGTTCCAGTTATCCCGCAGGCATCATATGAACCATCCCATAATGTTTTATCTGATGAGGAAGGAGGTAGGTTAATCA